GTATGATTATTTGCTGCATGAACGTTCGTTGACTTGATGATTGAATATGAAAAATGATTATGCTATGTTATGATGCATGAAATATATGAAATTTCTATGTTTGGATGGTATGAAATATGAAAATTGATTTTGATATGAATGTATAAAGTTATGAAACTATATGTTAAGAAATGAGTTGGAATATAAATGATTCTGATATGAAATTTTCCCTATGAAAGGGTACGTTCGTCACTGAACGGTCATTGACCGTTCGGTATTTTTAGTAAACTTGGTTAGAATTGGATTCTTTCATTTGGGAAGAATCCTAGTTGAGGACGAGCGTCTACATTTTGAAATATTGTGCTTAAGCGTTTGGCCAAGCATAGTTTGTTCTTGATATTCAGTTATAAACTTAATTATACATATATGTAATTGTATATTTTCTTTTATTCTTAAACACTACTCGAAATGGTATCTTATTATATTTATCAAGCCTTCTACTATAAGTTTAGTAGTGTTCGGTCTTACACCAAGCGCTCGTACTGAATAGTGTTGGGTCTCACACCAAGCGCTCGTACTGAGTAGCTCTCGGTCTTACACCAAGTGCTCGTACTCGTTTCTTTTATAATCGATCTTGAGGAAAATAGCGTTCGTCCAACTTAAATAGAGTTTTCTCTCTACCATGTTCGGTCATTGACTGACATTCGATTTTCTTGATGTTAAACTCAAATAAGCTAAGTACTTATAAACGTTCGCTTTCTTCATGAGAATTCTTCTAAGTATTATTCTTTGAATGTCTTGAAGAGTCTATATCCATTTGGTTCCAGCCTAGAGTCTTATTACTTGACATGGTCTTTTCGGTGTTCGGTTGGAGCTCTCAGGAGTCAGTTCATCTAATTGGCTCACTTTGTAATGAACGTTCGTTCTAGTAGTTTCTGTTATATATGATTGTACCCGGGTTCCTTCTCAAACCCGATAGTAACCCTCTTGGTTTAATCCGTTTCTGGAACTGGAGATCTCTTGGTCTCTCTCCAAGTGTTCGGTCTCGTTCGAGTTCAGTGTTGAACGTTCGGTATCTGGTGTCTTTAAAAATCTTTGAACAAAGATGAAATTGAGATGATTGATAATGAAAGATGAAGAGAGTATGATATGGATGAAATGTGTTGAGTTATGGACGAGCATTCCGGGGAGGAACGACTCATGAATGAATATTGGAATTGATAAAGTATGAATATGGGCATGCTAAGCTGGCGGTTCATCCTGATGTTCCGTGAGTACTCGTCCTCACGTAGAGGAAGGTAGGTCATGTGTGGGAACGACAGGAGGTCCCAGTCCTTAGGGTTACTTTGGACAGATAGGACTAAACTCGGGTGGCAACTGTTGAGGGTATCCCAGTTATTACATCACTCGGGTGCACGAACGCCTGTAGCTACACAGATTTCATACAATCTGGACAGTCAGTCTAGTGTTAAGCTTTGTATGAACGTATGATGAAATATATCTTTGTGTTTGATTGTGTGAAAATGTATGTTTATACATGAATTAAATTACATAAGCTTACCCTGTGTTTTCCTGTCTTGTCTTGTTTTGTACGTTCGTCTTGTCATTGCAATGATCGTCCGTGTGGATGTGAGCAGAAGGAGACGAGCTGCTAGAAGAGGCGTTGAAAGAAGAAAACTTGGTCGAAGTAGAAGTGAAGACCAAACTGTAGGATTGTTCGGTCAGTAGTCTAGTTATAGTAAGGTGGTCGTTTGATCACCTTCTTTTTTGCTAAGTGTGACCGTTCTGTAGTTTCTTTTGTGAACCGTTCGGTCAAAAGTGTACAATGTTACTTTCTCGTTCTGCTTTGTAAGGCCGTTCGGTCATAACCGTACGTTCTTCTTAGTATAAGACTGATTTGTATATTATTAAATGTGATTATTCTATTATATAGTTTTAAACTGTATTTTGGGATGTTACTTATTGAATGTTGTAATGTTTTTAAATAATTGTTCCTGTTTTCAAATAATAAATTAGGACACCCTTAAATCATGAGTTTTATCTTATAATAATGCAAAGTTTTATACGTTTCAAAAAAAGATATGACTTTTATTTCTTTTATATGATATGGCTTTCTTCAGTTTCGGTTTTCTTTAATTAATATTCTATCTTTTCAATATTAATAATATAGGATATTTTAGTTTTGATTTAAGCCATTGCGGCATTGTTTTAATTGCCGTTTCAGTGTTTTTTAAACAATATGCTATTTTTTTCAATATAGAATATTTTAGTTTTAGGTTTAAGCGCGACGTCATTTTATTTGCTATAGATATTGTATATCTATTAAATATAATATTTTAAAAGGGAAATTTGATTGATTTATATAAGGTAAGATAATATATATATATATATATATATATATATATATATATATATATATCATAATATTTTATATTTAGATAAAAGAAATAATAAGGTATTATTATATGTGTTTTTAGTAATAGTGTGTATTTGAATATTTTATGTATAAGTTATGGTGACTAATTTATGTGTTTTTAATTGAGTTGTTATTATTATGTTATTTGTTTAATTATTGTTTTGAGATTGGTTGTCATATGTGGGTTGCTGCTTGAATTGTGTGCCGAGAGGAACATGAGTTGGTTGAGTTGTTGTTGATGACAAAGGTTGTTTGATAAGTCATGTTAGTGGGTAGGGATGACATAAAACCCCGTATCCGTGGATACTTGCGGATAAAATATGCTATGGGTATTTAGTACCCGTGTGTAAGAGATACCCGCGGGTAATTTTGTCTTTGTCGTCAAACCCTAAATCTCAATTTTTTTCTCCTACTCTCTTTGCATTCACATTGTCGTCACAGAAGGAGAGAAAAAAAAATGAAGTTCAATCCTAGAGTTTCCTGTTCTCCACAAATCTCGTCGTCTACCATTTTCAAACCCGAAATCGTAGGCACAAGCAGTGCCAACCAGTCATCTTTGTCACGTAAATCTCGTGAGTTTGTCATCTTTCTCTCGTGCAACCTGCAAGAAAACAGAGATTCCATAACAAAATTGCAAACTTAATCGCGCCTCTCAATCGTGACTCTAGGGAACCAAAAATGCAACTTGTGTCGTCGCCACCTCCTTCGAAGGAGCCACCATGAGAGCGCCGCTGCAAAAGAGAAGGGGCAAAACCCTATCATCACGAGGGAACCTCCAACGTGGGGAAAAATTCCTGCAGCCGCCGCGAAACATCCTTGCCCTGGTCTAATTCGTAGCGCAAGCTCTCTACATTCTGGAACCCTAATTTTTTGGGTGAGAATGAGGGCTGCCACGGGCATCTTTCCCCTACTTTCTTACGACACCAGATTGGGAGGAAAAAACCACTACAACTTGAGGAAGAAACCCTAAAGAAGGGTTTAGGCTCGGCCTATTTTCAAGAAAAAAATTAATAATAAAAAAGGTGATTTGGACTTTTAGCCCGTTTTCATAAAATAAATGATTTGAACATTGACCCAATTTTGTTTCAGAAAATTATGTTTTTTTTTTCAATTTAATTTAAACATTTTTAAAAAATCATAAAATATTTTTTTTTTTTAAAAAAAGAATTGCAGGTCGAAACGGGTATCCGCGGGTTGGAAAAAATCTGCGGGTTTTTTTTATGCGGGTATCCGGTGGGTAGCGGAGCGGGTACGTGTACAGTTTTAACATGCGGGTTGGGTTTGGGTATCACACTATTCGTGCCCGACCTGACCCGTTGTCATCCCTATTAGTGGGTAACTGTGAATAATATGTTTTCTTACGTACTCAATGGCTGATGACGTGAGGGAGTCCTACGTTAGTGCGTAGGCCCGTTTTTGGTGAACCGAAAAATCCTGCGTTGATGCGTAGGCCTGGTTTTGGTGAACTGGAATGTCCTATGTTGGTGCGTAGGCCCTATTTAGGTGAATAGATCGTGTTTGATGGAGTACGAAAGAAGACATATGGTGATAGTGCTTGGGAAGTGGTGGCATGGTTTGTTTGAGTGGAAGTTAGATTAACAATGTGTTAGTGTTGTGAATTTGATTTATGTATGAGTCTTATGAGTTTAGAGGTTATTTGATAAATTGTATTATTATAATTATATTGTTACATGTGATTTTGATGTTCGTTATGCCCCTTGCATTTATGGTGATGATTTTCATCAGCGATGATTGTGTTTATACAAAAACAAATAATGTTACAGAAGATATTGGTGATGATGTGTAGAGTGATAAACGAGTGAGAAATTATTAACAAAACTTTTAAATAAAACATGTTGAAGGTTTTTAGTACAATACTTCAAGTTATAATTGGATTAATTATTACTTTTGCGTATTTTATTTGATTCTTGAGAAGATAACAAACTTTTAAATTTTTTATATAGTCCGATGGTATCAAAGTCACGAATCAATGGAAGTACTTTACTTACATATTTGGCACCTGGGTTTACAACCTGCACCCCATTTCATTTTTTCTACTTCATTTCTTTATTTAGAGATATTTTTGTTCAACTCCTGTTTGTGTTGGAGGAAAAAAAATATTTATTGATTAAAATGAAGAAAAACATTTTTTTAAAATAAGTTTTACTTTTTAAATTTTGATTACATATTAAAAAAATATTAAACTAAACAAAGTTATAATATTTTTAATTAAATAAACTAATTGTTTAACCCGCTACCGCGTTGTGATCAAACCCATAATAAACTAGACCAAATAACCCATTTAGACTGCTTTACCTAAACATACTCCCATTCAAGTAAAAATTCAAATAAATACTCCCATTCAAGTAAAAATCAAATATAATACCTGTAACAAGTATTTTTTCTATCTCTATCTATCGCTTGAATTATTCATCTTATCACACGTTTCTCTCATTAACTTCTTACAACTTCTTAATAATAAACTGTATTAGTTGTGAAAAATAAAGCACATGATGAAACATTGAAAGCCCATGATGATGGTTAGCCACATTGTACTTCCAATGTTAGTTAATTAGTCATCAGTGACAGATGAAACAAAGACATATAAAGAGGCACATAAACTGTATACACCAATATTCTGTGGTCAGCATAACAAACCAGTGTCACATGTATGTAGTAGTAATAGATAAACACACTTTATTCTATTGAAAAAGCTCATTGCATGACATAGTACCAGTAAATGCACCAGATCATTCATATATTTAGATAACACTCGCAAGAAAAACATTCAAAGCACAAACCACCAAAATACAAGCGCCAATGGTCCTCTTAACTCGCATCTTCAAAGCCACTCCACTCACAATTCCGTCAATTTTACTTCTGCATTAAGCATAATCGTAAAGATTAAACAAAAATCAGAAACAGTAATTCATTCTTTAGGAACAGAAAAACAGGGAGAAACAATTTTGTGAATTTTTCAGGCACATTCAGCAACAGAAAATGACAAATATGACAAAAACGGAAGAAACATGATAGAGAACTTACAGTAAGGTAAGATCTTCCACTGCTGGTTATCACCTTTATTCCAATCCCAGAGGACTATTGTAGTGCCATCATGCACACCTCCAGACTTCTTATCACCGTGGAAAGCATCCACATTAAGATGAATGTTATTCACCATCCTTATAGCTCTGTGCCCATCACCAAGGTCCCGGCTCTCAGTCCACAAAATAGACTCGTCAAGGTAGTCTGGATTGTAAGCTATCAGCCGAACCTACAATATTAAAAGTATAAAATAGAAAACGATATAGTTAACATTATTTCTGTAATAAAAGGGTTTAGGGGGCCAGAACCATCTTGTCTCACTTCAAGGTTCAAACCTCGTGCTTTACAAAGCACTGACGACAACATTACTTGCAGATGACAAGTCAAAGAAAGTGCACTACTAAAATATGCACACAGGATTGTTTTACTGTTGCTCTTGATTACACTTTTTATTTCTTTCTATTAACTTTGAAGTTTAACCCATTTTTTGTTCACGTGCATCATGTCAGTGGAAAGAAAATAGACAAACCAACAAAAGGTTAACCCAAGAAGTTGCATTGCAATTACCCCAATGCAAATAGTTTCGAAATTTGCACATCAGAACAACACGCCAAAGCATCTTTATCTTAAAAGCATAAAGCTCCAACACATTCATCATTAAAGCCATTGACAAAAGGTCCTAGCTTCACCATTCTGATTTTAACGTTATTATGATCACATATTCACACTCAGTTCCATCTCATTTCCTCCTCATTTTTCTCCTGTCTCTCTCTTCACCTTCCATTAGCTCCATTTTTTTTTTCTCTTTACCACTCACTCGGATTCATCCATCCATAAACCCCATTTTTGGTATGTACATTAGCCATTTATTGGAAACAGAAAGACTACTAAAGCAGTCAAGTGTTACTACAGTATATACATATTCAGTAGTAACAGAAAACCAATATCACAGACTGGTGTCCACTTGCAGTAACATACATCAACATTCAATGGATCACACATTTCCTGCAATCAGGAATTTAACACACAGAGTCGCTAATAATTGTAACCCGTTGGATGAAAATCAAACGGATCACATCATAACCTGTAAATAAAACTAAAATTGTGCATCTGAAATTTAATCCGTCCAATCTTCATCCACTGGTGCTGATCCCCTATTGCGTGAATGCACTGAACATAGGGATCATTCAACAAACTCACAATTCCCATGCTAAAATCCCAATTGTAAAACCAGCATATCAATTATCAAGCACAATGACATCAAAGAAAAAGAGACACTCTGCAATGAAAGAGTAAACCTTGAGAGAAAGATCTTACTGGATGAGAGCTACCAATGGAATGCTTCAAGGCCTCGCCAGTGGCCTTGTTGACCAAAGAGAAAGCAGGGCACCCCTCTGCATCCTTCACCCTGGTGCTGTACTTCTCATCCTTATACCAGTGCTGCATTTCCCAAATATTCAGATAAAAAATAATTAATCCATTACAGGAAAAGATCACATTTTTCGTGAACTGGGGTTGCGAGGGAGACACGTGAAGCTACCTGATACTCATTGGAGGGATCGGAGGGTGCGAGAATGACTTGGCCATGACGAATTGTGAGAGAGAAATCGGGCGCAGCTTTGGTGACAACCCTCACGGTGGGTTTGCTCCGGAGACCGGTGTTAGTCTGGTGGCCGACGTGGGTCACGGTGGTGGTGCTGCTGGGAGAGTTGTGAGAAGAGAAATGAGGAGTGTGGTGGTGGGACTCGTGAGCCACGTGGTGGACGGTGGAGGTGGTACCAGGAGGGGGGTAATAAGCTGGAGCGGGAGCAGGGGAGTACCCGTGGGAGAACCCATGATCGGATTCATGGTGGTGATGAGAAGTGGGAGCTGAGTAGTTGAAATCCTGAGACACGTGTCCTGGTGGCGGCACGTGAGAGGTGTGGAACACGTTGGTCTCGGGTTGAGGGGGCGGTGGTTGAGGAGCGCCATAGAAGGGTGGGGGCGGCTGTTGGTGAGGGTTGGGGAAGGTGCTTCCCGGCGGAGGGTAAGCATTGCGTCGTTCGTCGTCGTCGTCGTCTCTGCGGTGGTGGGTGTGGCCGAAGGGAAACGACATGGTGGATTTTGAGTTTCGGAATTGGAACAGGAGAAGAATGCTTAGTGGCTAAGTTTAGTTTGGTCGATACGATTGATGTTGGAAATGAAACGTGTTGGCCGGACCCACACTACATCTATTATCTATTATTATCAATAATTATTATTATTATAAAATCTTAAATTGAATAAAATAGCACTGGTAGTTGGATACGTGGCACGGTTTCAGTTCGTGTGGAGGAGATTCTCTTTTCTGCAACTTTCGATGAACTATGTCATCAGATTCTGAAAATCCGTAACATATTGAACAACAGTTACGTGTGAACCGGTAGATATACGACTTCAATAAATAATTGCTTTTGGAGTAGAAGCTATACTAAATTAAAATATTTTTAAGGTTCTTTTAATTGATTAATTACTTGGTCATAGATTATTATTTCTGATTAACAGAAATTATCGAACAGATTTATATGGTGAAAAAAAAAATTATGACCTTAACACCACTTGCAAAATGTAAAGCAAAAAATTATTTCAGCGACATATTTTATGTTTATTTAATATTTGTTATCAGTGCATTGTTTTAGTTATCAAAACAGTGCCTCTTATTATTGAAAGAGTCAAAAGCCAAACTTTTAAAGAAAGAAGTTCAGAACGTTAGTTATTAACAGAAGAGATCAATCAGAATATCAATGATAAAAATTAAATGGAAGTTTTAAAAAAAGTTTTAGTTCCTAAGAATTAATATTTTTTGAATATTAATGTAATAAAAATAATGAAACATATGAGGACTTAAATTACCTTAGATTATTACAGTGTTCTTAGTCATTACACTGAAATAATATCTTCTATATCATTAAATTTGTTACAACAATATCTCTGTTTATAACTACAACAAGAATTAATGAGGCTGCACACTAATACTGGAAACCTTACTTACATTGCAAAGCTAACAATAATTTTTAAAAATTATAGTAAAAATAAAATCTGATGTATCTATAGTGTTAATGTTACAAACAAAACATAAAGTAGACCCCTATTAGATCTTTTCACTCATTTTTGCAAACTTACAACTTTGATTTTCTTCAATTGATGCTTATCCAAGAATGCTCCAAGATTTCACAAAAGATGTTCTTGATTAAAGCTCTTAGAATGTTTTCCGTGCCTGAAAAAGGAATTAACCATATATATATATATATATATATATATATATATATATATATAT